TGCAGTGTTACTAGAGCTGTACACATAGAATTAATCACAAATATGTCAACAAAAAATTTTATTTTGTCATTAAGGAGATTTTTAGCTAGGAGAGGAAATTGTAAAGTTATCATTTCCGACAATGCTAAGAGCTTTAGAGCCACTAATGAAATTCTTAAAGAATTTGCAAAAATTATAATAGATTCAAAAATTGAAAGATTTCATATCATTGCGCCTCACGCGCCTTGGTGGGGTGGTTTTTATCAAAGATTCTTTGAGAAAGATTCTCAGAAGGGCTCTTCTTAACTTTGAAGAAATGATGACTATTCTATCAGAAATTGAGTTAGTTCTAAATCATAGACCTCTTACTGATGTCCACAATGAAATAAAAGAGCCACAAGCTCTCACACCTGCTCATTTCTTGTTTCCAGGGCAAGAAAATATTTCTTATCCTATACATTTCGCCGACCTTTTCAGGAATGAACCATTGAACAGGCAGACTTTGACTAAAATAAAAGTGTATCAAACTAATCTTTTGAAACAAATTTGGAAAAAGTGGAAGGAGAATTATCTTCTCAAATTACAGTCTGCGCACACTTTTCTAAATCCATCTCCTGAAAAGAATCTTAAAAAGGGTGAGGTTGTATTGCTGGAGGGGTCGACGAAATAAAAATTTTTATGGCCTATTGGAATTATAGAAGAAGTTTATAAAGGTAGAAATGGGTATGTGCATCCATGTTTGATTCGTACTTTTCAAGGACTTTATCGAAGACCCGTCCAACTGATCTATCCTTTTGAATTAAAGTTATATATATGTTTGTGTCATGTATTGTGAATTAAAGTTATATATATGTTTGTGTCATGTATTGTATTAATTTGCAATGTAGTTTTCAGTATTGATTTGTGATTATATCTACATATATTATAGATGTGTACTCTTAACAGAGCACAGGTGGGGTGTGTAAAAACTTTTCATAGTATAGAGGGCGCTGTTGCACCGAAAGATTGCTTCTGTGTGTTTACATTATGTAACTGTAGGTTCGCCATTGCAATGTGTCTGTATTACTGTGATATTTTTTGGCATTTCATTAAATGTAAATGAAAGATATCATCATGTACTTTTGTATACCAAATAAAGATAAAATTTAGACTGATGCAAACTCGTTGAAACAAAAATAGTGTTCGAACAAAAATCGTCAATCGTTATACTCGCTTTTCGAACTTCGCATTCGTATCATTGATTGCTTTGTAATACATGAAATTAGACTTTAATCACTTTCAAAACCACAAAAATCCTTTTCACTATCATCATCATCGAAAACGAGAATATCGTCATCACTAATATCACCTTCTTAGAATAATGCGTCATCTTCTGTTCCGTCAAGAACATTACTGATTCCGCACTTCTGAAGGGACTTAACAATTACTTCAGCCTTTACATCCTCCCAAGATCTTTTTACTCACTCGCACACTTGTGAAATAAGAGTGCCGCTTCATTCTACCTGAGGTGTGATGGTGGCATCTCCTGGATCTCACTGTTACATCCATCGTTCTCACACTTTTTCCTTAAATGGCTTATTCACCGATACATCTAAAGGCTGCAATTGGCTAGTCAGTCCACCAGGAATGACAGCTATCTGGGTTTTTAATTCTCTCGCTTTATTCTTTATGGTCTCAGTTCTATGGGCACTAAACTGATCCAAAACCAAAAGAGAGGGTTTTCTTAAGAGTCCATCAGGTCGCCTCGTCCATACGTTCTGTAACCACAGTTTCATTCCAGCTTCGTCCATCCAGCCTTTCAGATGAACATGAACAATTACACATGTTGAAAGTTTTTCTTTCGGAGGTGTTTTTCTTTTGAATATGAAAAACGGTGGTAGTTTTGTGCCATCAGTACAACATGTTAGAACTACTGTATATCGGGTTTTTCATGACCTGTGGTTTTTATGATTATTGATTTAGAACCTATGATACTCACAGTCTTGTTGGATGGTACATCAAATGTGAGTGGAATTTCATCCATTTCCTATTTGACCGAGCTCAAAAGAAGTTTTCTTGCGTGCATTTTCTGTGCAATAGTTGTTTATGTGTGCATTGATAAGCCTTGCCTTTTCATGAACCTGAAGTACCAGTCCTCAGACCCTGAAAAGTTCTGATTCCTATGTTTTTCTGCAAATCCTTTGGCCTCATTGATTATCATTTTGGTTGAAACACTTATCCTAGATTTCCTCTTATCTATCACCCACATTTTTACGGCATTTTCAAGTTCAGGCCAAGATGGAGCTGAGCATCAAAGGTTATGTTTTTGTTTTTTAGAACTTAAGTTAGTTTTTAGCTTATTTGGATTAAATTTAAATCAATTGTATTTATATTGAAATGATCTGCAGATATTAAAACTTATTTTAATTATGGATTTAAAAATTACAAAGCCATCAAATATAAAGAGAATGACATAAAAGTAATGATCCTGATGGCACTGTGGGAAAACTAACTTTATACCTATCTTCAGACCAGGTAACGACCATCAGAACAAGTGCCTGTCTCTGCCATAAGGATATTCTATTCACATTACGTTTTCTACAGGTCTTCTGCTGTGCCACAATAATGCAGCATTGGAATTTTGAACATTATTGTGCCATCTACTGTGTATGCATTGCACAATGTTCATGCATGCATGTGTGTGTGTGAATATGCAATCTTGTAATTTCAACGGAAGATGGCAAAACCATCAGAATTAACAATGTCAATACTCCTCCTTTTATACAATTTGGAAACACTGCTAAATTTTCTTATTCAAAAAGTTTTTTAAAACTACATTGTTTATCAAAGAATATCAAATATTTGTTAATGGTACAATCTCTAGTTCCATCAAATACTGGACATGTAAACTTATCTTTATCTGAACAATATATGAAACATTTTCAGATTGGTACACCTTAGATTGAAATCGTGTTTCCATCTAAAATTTTGTCAAAATCAATAAATCCTTTACTTAAACCACATTAAAACATTACAAACAAATAAAAAACATTAGAATTACTTACTTTATTAATTACTTACTTTATAGAAATGTAAAAATTCTAAAAGCACATTATTAACAAAAACCTTTTTCAAGAAAATATTAGTAAGTTTTTCATTTCATTAATGAAAATTTTTATGTTTCTTAAAAAAAAAATAATAATAATTCCCGATGTACACTGTAACTTTTTTTATTTTTTAATGCTGGGGGGGGGGAATAGAAACCAAATTTATTTCACTTTTTATCAAGCAAGTGATTTTTGAAAAAGATGAATACTTTTTTATAACACACTGAAATCAACACATTTTATAATGCACTAAAATTAAACAATTGATACTTTTCAACTGGTGAAGTGGAGCACAGAACTCACTTTTTTTATCACTGAAGGAATTTTGATATCATACACTTACTGAAATCACTACACGGAAAAAATGAAATAGAGGACATGACTTTTAAAAGACACACTTTTGACAATATACTCGACCACAAATGCACTGCATAATTATTCATGCACTGACCTCGACCCATTTTCATAGCAGTACATTCACTGGATTGCTGATAGTAAATGCCAATTAAAGCTGCTGCTTCCTAATCAATCTATGAGTCATTCTTTTCTTTTGAAATCTTTTTATGGATCACTGAAATCAAAATATTTTAGATATTTACCATTTGTAATGTAATCTACGAGTCATTCTTTCCTTTTGAAATCTTTTTATGACACACTGAAATCAAAATATTTTAGATGATATTTACCATCTGTAACATTGTTGATTTTGAATTTCCATGATGAATTTTTCACTCGTATACCTGCATTTACAACATCCTGTTGACCTTCTGTGATATACTGTAGTTTTTGCAGAAGATGAAAGCAATTCACTTTTTAGTCTGGGCCAAAAAAAGTGCTCCATAGATCTGACTGCAGTGAAAAATCACAACTGGCTTGATGGTTACAATGGTTAAAACATCATTTCTATTTTGAACAGGAACTTATTCAGAAATACAGTTTTGCTTAATTTGGTACAATCCTATGGGTGCTAAATGTGCTCGACAATTTCTATATATGCAGTTTACACTTTAGACAACAGAAAAAGAAGCTTAGCAGAGTCATATGACCTTCCTTATCAGAGCAAGCAGCAAAAGAGTGATGTATCATAACTGAAGTAGTATTTATAAGCTCCGAACGTCTTTGTTTTAATCCTAAGCAGTGACTGGACAAAAGATTTTGCACTGTGATTACTGCAAGGTAAAGCATGATGTAAAATGGTGCAATATGGAACTATGAAGGGGATGTGTAAAATTAAGAATTTGATGTACCATTCCAATAGAGTTTAATATAGTAATACATTTTTCTTCATATTTTGATATCTTACACAGATATACATACATATATAGACATTAAGAAAACCAGTGCCAAATTTTCCAGTACCAAAGGGCATCAAAGCCAGGAAACAACTTTCCAATAAAGCAAAGTACAACAAATGCTGAAATCAAATGAAGGTTGATTTGCCTTTTTAACAGATAAGGGATATTCATTCTTTATGTCTCAAAGACAAACAACAAATGAACATTACTATCACAAGGTCCTCAAAGTGAACTTAGTTACTTAAAAACAAAGTAGGCATTTAGTAGTTCCACTACTTTTCTAATCTTTATATTGAGTCCACATGAAAAAAAATTCCACATATTTATAACTCATGAATGCACTCTATGCTTCATAAAACCAGTCTCATTACTTTTCTGCCATACATTGTAATTCATAGTCAACATTATGTTCCACAGTTGAAGTGTGTCTGCTACATATTTATTGCTAATTCTACAGAAAAATATTTTAATAAAATTTCTAGCTTCTGACTTATATAAGAAAAAGTTTCATTCCCAGTTAAAATTTTATTTATTTATAATAGCAAAATAATCTGTCTGCTTGTATCTCTAACATAATATGCAGCACAACATAACACAACATTATTGTGAAAGATCAAAGGAAAATCACAACAAAACAAACCTGACATCCCAGAAAGTATTAATAGGAGACTCTGGATTCCACATCTCAATATTTGATGGATCATGTAAAACAAGTAAAGCTTCCATTGCCTCTTGGGCTACATCAGGCATGGAGGGTTGATGAATCAAAGATACAAGACCATTTATCAACTCTAAGGTGCTGCTCTGGATTTCATGCCCAGCTTTCCCTTGATTCTGAAATTAAAATGCCATACGAGGAGCAAAAATATACACAAAATCTTATTAGCATTCTAAAATTTGATTGAGATTCACACTAATTCACAAATTATACAAGGAGATTCTGCTTGAACACTTTCATTTAAACTAAGATTGGATTCAGATGTAAAAGAAGAGTTAAAATAGTTAGCCTAACAATTAAACTCTTCCAAAAAATAGTTCAACTTTGCATAAATATTATCATTCTAAAAATCATAAACACAAATTTCATATGCTGCAAGTATAATAATTATATGTCAGCTATTTTATGCATAATTCATTTTATAAAATGATTAAAATACTACACAAACTCTGCCAAATGAACAAAACTCTAAATTCAAATTAAACTATATTTATTTCCATAATAAAATTATGAAAAAAAAATAGAAAAGAAAGAACGTAATTTAAAGGAAGGAATTTGAAGAATTATCTTTAAAATGCAGTGAAACCTCTCTATCAAGAAGACAACAGGTCAAGGTGAGTTTGGCCTTTTGTAAATGTGGTTGCCTTAGATACCTAACTACAGTAAAAGATCCGTAATCTGGACGTCCATTATCCAGAGTGATCTATAATCCGGACCTAAAAGCCACAAACCTTTTTCTTTGTATGCTTTACGCATGCGTGTAATGCATTTAAGCATGCGCATGCACACTGGGAGGATGTCTCCAGATACATTAAAAAATGCTTGGCATAATTTATGGCCAGCTACTATATTTCATGGTGAGGATGATGAAGATGATAGCCATGAATTTGAAGGTTTTCGGAATATCGCAAATCAAACGGTGAAATTTATAGTAATTAAATTTTGTAAAGAAATGTGGAGAAGTGTTAATGAATGAAGATGATATAACAGAAGTTTTTTTTTTCATGGTGCAAAACAATGTTCCAATCGTCAATCGATTAACGGATGGCAAAATCTGTAGTATGGTTCCAGATCCAGAAAATGCCGCTACCGATGGTGAAGAAAGTGACAGAGTGGTTACTGAAAACGAAAAAATTTTAATTGACAAGTTAGTCGTATTCTCGACATAGCAATTACAGGACTTGAACAAAATGGAACTTTGTAACTAAACAAGAAATTATGTCCGTCTTATAGAATTAAAGAGAAAGTATTAGTACAAAAAAAAGAGAAGCAACTTAAACAACTTGTATTGAAAGGAAATGTTTAATGAAGTGAAACAAATAATATTAAGCCTCTTTTTTTTTTTTTTTTTTTTTTTTTGTAAATTTTGATACCCTTTAGGTCATAATTGCTCTTTATTTCATAAATTACGGTTTCATTTTTTTAATTGTATAATTTCTGCATGCCATCTCACCAGATTTAAAGTGATGATCTCTAATCCGGAAAAACCCCTAATCTGGAATTATTACTAATCTGGAATAATCCTAATCTGGAATCCAGATTACGGACTTTGTACTGTATTAATGACTTTAATGGTAAATATCTGAGACTATTAAATTGTTATTTTATGTAATGTTATAATGTTAGATATAGTTTTTATTTACTTGTTTATTTGATGTATTGGGTCATATAAAAAGTTGCCCGTGGATTTTTGCCACTAGATGATGTTGATGCCTATATATCCAGCAACACTCACCCAATTGTCTCAAACAAACATGTGCTTAAAAAGATGACATTCAGCTTCCACTGTTTGTGAAGACAGTTTTCTAAATCATTGCTTGTGTGAATAGTTATATTGATTTGAAAATGAGTGAAATATCTGAAGAAACGTGCTATGTGATGCTTTTTTACTATATATATATAAAAAAAAAAAAGGAAAAAAAGGAAAAAATAATACAAAAACATGCCAGAAAATTTGTGAAGCATGCGGTGAAAATGTTGTGAGTGAACGAAGGACCCAAGAGTGGTTTGTTCGATTCCATTCTGGAAACTTTGATGCCAAAGAATTTGGAATTGTTCATTGTGAGCTGCTGCAACCTGGCAAAACCATCAATTCGCCCCTGTACTGTGCACAACTCAACCATTTGAACAAAGCAATCCAAAAAGAGTAACAAGAATTGGTACCCAGAAAGGGAGTTGTGTTCCATCATGACAATGTGCGGCTACACATATCTTTGATGACTCTGAACAAATTGAAGGAACTTGGTTTGGGAGTTTTGATGCATCTACCGAATAGCTCGGACCTTGCACCGTCTGACTACCTTTTGTTTCGGTCTCTGCAAAATTCTGTTGATGGTAAAAAACTGGCTGACCGAAGCGCCACTGAAAATCACTTGGCCAAGTTTATCGACGATAAACCGCAGAAGTGCTATACCAATGGAATTATGAAGTTACCAGAAAAATGCCGAAAGGTCGTAGATAATAATGGTCAATATGTACTTGATTAAAACTGATTTTCAATAAAGAAAATTTTTATCCAAAAATGTACCATAAAACTGTGGAGACTATATGGCCTAATATTTTATCTAATAATAATTGAAGAAATTTCTTTAATTAAAAAGGGAGAAAAAGAAAATTTCAGAGAAAAAAAGTTCTATGGAAGTTCTGGATAATAAATAGATCATTCTCGTTACTGGATGTTCAAATTTTGGACTTAAGACAGTATCTAAATTTTAGAATACCTAAATAGAAAATCAGATACCCAGAAGACATGACAGACTAGTTTAGAAGTTTAGCAGTCTATCTAAAATTGGATATTGATATGTGAAGACATTTTTATGTCAATTATAAAAACTAAACGACTTTCATTAGAAAAAACAATTACATGACGCTTTATTACATAAAATAAAGAACAATTCATTTACCATAATCAACATTCAAGCATTTTATAATTTGGGACTTATTTACTTTCTCATTGATCATAAAAGTGGTAAAACTCCTACCAAATTTGTGCCAACTATTCCAGCAGAAGTTTGATGGAAGAGACTGCTCTTTATTCAATTACATAACCTACAGACACAAATCTCAAATCTATATATATATAAAGAAGAAAGTCTGTGTGTGTATGTTTGTTCGCTAATAACTCCATCACTACTATAGCTATCGTCACCAAACTTTTTACAATTCTATTCTGGGTCCTAGAAAAGGTCGACATCAACTTCTTCTTTTTTTCCTTTTAAAGCAGCTCTTTTCGAGTGCCAACAGTCTCGCAAGCTGGAGATGAAAATCCGCTTTATTTTGAAAATTGTTGCCATTGCTCATTTTCAAACCCTAGAGTTTGTTAATAAAAAACTTCTAAGTTTTAATGCATTGCCACACATTAAATACATTTTTCCCGATTCTAAAAATACATGGAAAGCCATTTTGACTATTCCCATCTTTGTACGACTTTAATCAGCCGAAATATTAATTAAAAACTCTGAAAATGCTAATTTTCGCACTCATTTTTCTGAGAGATAACAGTCTCACATGTTAGAGATTAAAAAAATGCTTTATTTCGAAAAGTGTTGCTACTGCTCACTTTCAAATTGTAGAGTTTGTTAAACAAAAATTTCTAAATTTTACAAAACCTCTAAAGAATGTCTGTGTGTATGTGTGTTTGTTCGTATTTTTGATTTTTGATCCATTATGCTAAATTTTTTGCCACATTCAATCGACTAAAATTGAATATAGGTGAAATATTGGATGGAACTTGAGCTTTTACGACCATTTGATTAGAAAGACGAAAATCACTAAAAACTGTGTGCCATTGTTGCTGATATAATGAGAGAGAATAAGCTTATTTTTCTATCAAATTTTTTTATGTGGGTTCCATATTGCATCAGACTGAAAAATGACTATGAATCGCATTTTTTGCATTGTTATTACAGAAGGATTACAGTAGCATCATTCTCTCTGCTGTTAGATGCATTACTCTCAATCTAACTTAACTGGCATCGGGTACTTCAGCTAGTATAGGATAATAAAAGCATAATTGAAAAAAATTGCACAAAAAAACATATATAAATAAAGAGCTTAAACTTGCACCAATTATATATATATATATAGCTCAGAGGAAGTTTGGAAGGAACAGCTTAATAGCTTACATCCTTTTCTACAAAAACTAAACTGCCTCATCTAGGATTAATTGAAGTTGCATAAAGGCGAGATGCAGCTTTTTTGAGTGTGTTGAGACATCATAATCATCTGCTACTAGTGTCAAACAAGTGTACTTAAGTACCTATAATTGTGTGCTTAAGTACCTATAAAGTACCTATAAATTCATTAAACTTACTTAGTGCTTAAGTACCTATAAATTAGTGCTTAAGTACCTATAAATTCATTAAACTTACATTCAGCATAAGAACTGGATCCGCATGAATGAGTCTGACCATCCACAAAAGAAGATTTTTATAACTAAGAGATTCTTCTGACTTTTCTTTAAATTTCAGAGTACTCACTTTTTCTTTAAGGGTTAAACTCTAAAAAGGAAAAAGGAAATAAATAAATAACTCATGCTAATTAAAAAGAAAGATGCACAATAATCCAGACCAGTCTTCTTCTGTATGGCTGAAAATATTTATTCAAAGAAAATTTAGCCTTTTTATTTGAAATTAATTTTAAACAATAGTATATATTTATTAAATCTACCGCTATATTATTCCAATTTAAACATACATCTTTCCTTGTTTGTATTTTGATGCACACTGCATTACTATATACTAGTATTTATTTACATATTTTTTTTCCTTTTCTGCATCATTTTGCTGTAATACTGAACACATTTATTGTAAATGTTTCATTACTTCTAATTTGCTAGTTATAATTTTATTTGCATTTGCTTAACTGCTTCATTATTTTCAAGAATTTGTAGCTTTCAAGAGACTAAAACAAATTTTTCTAGAATGCTTTGATAGTGCATCGCTCACCTTTAGTGTCAGTTTAAATATATAATTGAAGTTAATAAGATACATCTCAGAGTTTAGTCTAACTTATCTGCAGAAAGAAGTGTTATTTAGTTTATTATTTATAGAAGTTAGTTGTTCAATTTTTATCTATGCTGTGTGAATTTTTGATTGCAATGATATTGTATATCTAGGAATAACCAGCTAACATTCATTCCTGCATTAGGCTAATTTTAGATGTGTTCTCTCTTTTCTAAAAAAATTGTAAATAGCAACAAAACAACTTCAGCCAATTTAGGAGATCTCTACAAATCATTAACATACAACAATATACATTACAAACATGCATTTTTATATGTATGTTTGTGATGTCCTCATCAGTCAATCAGTGAAACTTCATATGACGTTTCATAGCATTACATCAAATGATGCTACAACTGAGTACAGTTGTAGCATCATAAGAATTGGTGTTAGAAGTGGGGAGTGGTAACCATTTTTGTTGTCATGATATGCAATGCACAGTTTCTTCAAAAATAACAATTGTTTTCAAACAATGACAATCCAATCAACATTTCCATGTTAGTCGTCATAGCTGTGTTCCTCCTCTCATAATAAGATTTTTTTCAGTTGATGGGGAATTTTGGAACATGATAAGATAAATACACTGCTGGTCATTAAAATTGCAACACCAGGAAGGAATGATATCACGAACATCAAAATCACATGAACAGAAGAAGAGGTTGGGATATGCAAATATATTTCAGCCCATTTAGATGATGCAGGAGGAAAAAACGTCATCTGAAGACCTGCATAAAAGAAAAGTTGTGCAATGGATTTTTCATTGGAAAGCACTTTGTAAGGTAGGAGTTTGCTCGGAATATTGTGTTATGTCTCAAATAAGATGAAGAACTGCTTACCAGCAAGTGTTGGAATGCATACTGCTTACTGAGCTGCTTACTGAGAGTGTGGAATTATCGCTCCATGATATCACCCGTTGCACTGGTCAACATCTAACCACTGTCATGTGCATATAGAATCAATGGATTGTTCAGGGTCATATATTGAATAGCATGCAGGATCTCAATGCCCTCCCATGAATAATGCCAGAGAGGACAGACATATTGTGAGGTCAGCCCTGCAAAACCGTAGAACCACATCATATTAAGGAAATTACCATGTTTGCAGCACACCTAGTATCTGCTGTATGGTGCATCAATGTTTGCAGCCACGAGGACTATCAACACAATGACCATTACTTCGGCTTCACTTGACAATGCAGCATAGAGAGAGACAGCGACTCTGGTGCACTGAATGACAAAGCTGGATACAGGAGTGGCGCAACGTTGTCTTTTCAAACGAGTTCCAGTTCTTTGTGCAGTATTCCGATGGCTCTATGCATGTCTTGAGGCCCTGAAGAGACCACACGTTGTCTACTTGCATTCAATATCAGCATAGGGGCCCTGTACCTGGTGTAATGGTTTGAGAGGCCATTGGGTGCACAATACGTACATCTCTAGTTCAGACTGATGGTAATTTGAATGCAGGCTGGTACATTTCTGACATCTTACATACAGTGGTTGTGGCCTACCTTCAAGGCTTGGCAAACACCATCTTCCAATAACATAATGCAAGACCACATGTTCTGACCTTTCTTAATACACAGGGTATTTGATTGCTGCCCTGGCATATGGTTGATGAAGCATGGCATAGACTTAAAGCAACATGGAATGAGTTGCCAGTTTCTGTCATCCAAGCCCAGTTCGTATGCATACCTAACCTGGTAAGGGCTGTTTTACATGCCAAGGGTGGTAACTGCTTCTACTAATTTAGATCCTTGTAAACCCCCAAACTGCTTACAAATTTAATCATTTTATCTTCATGCCATACTGTTTACGTAGAATAATTATCTTTTTTTGCATTTGCTTTCCTTCATGGTTTTGCAATTTTAATGGCCAACACTGTACGCACACAAAAACCAGCAGAAATCAAACACTTGAGCATACTGAACAAGCAATGAAATCTAGTCCCTTCCTGTTCTACTACTCAACTTGCATTTTCACGACTTGAAAATTTTCGGCTGTGCACAAATTGACATCATGATTGGCAATCTTTACGTTAAAGCTTTTTACACATATGACAAAGAAAATCACAACCGTTAATACTGAAATTATCATGTGTAATGAAGTTCATTTCTATCTCTCAGAATTTGTCAATAAATAAAATTTTCAGTACTGTTCCAAAACAGCTTCATGGAGATTCATTAATAGTCCCAATGGGTTGTATTTTGATGCACCGTGTCAAAGTTTAGGGTGACCGACCCATATTTCTTTGAGGATAATGATCAGACAATAAGACTAAATGCAGAATGATACATTTTATTGATACAAAACTTCCTTACTCCAATATTTAGCTGAAGTCAAATCAGTCTGCGATTTCAAAAGATGTGGAAACTGCACACATGAAAGTGTTAATGACATTATTTCTAGAGCGTTTGCGATGTGGATATATTGTGGGGCAATTTTGAAAACATGATCTTTGAGATACAAATTCTACCTATAGAAATACTTAAAATTTAAAATGCAGATCAATAAAACTAAAGGCAGTCAGCTAAAATAAATTCCACAAAACAACATGAAATGTTTCACTTATCAACTTCTACGCTGTGCAGACAGAGGACGATGATGTTTGCAAGATTTCATTTTCAGAAGTTAATATTGGTGTCATTTTTATTTTTTTCCAATAGCAGTTGTAAAGTTACTTAATTTTATCAAATTACAACATGAAGAAAAATGGGTGCGTTATATTTACCAAGTTATATAATTCCAAAAAATATCAAGTTTTTCTGCCGCACCCTTTAAATACATTTATACATTTTAAAGTTCCCACTACCATCTTTTGAAAATACTTTTAATTATTTTGTAGTTATATTACAAGTATTTTGTATAATACAATATAAAATATAATCTGATATGAAAAATGTGAGACAGATTATTTTAAAAACACTTATAACATTATTCATTAACATATACTTTAAATTCATTGCTTACATTTATCAAATATAATGGATAGGTGTAATACCACTTTCTATTTTCATATGAGTGATATTGCTTAGGGTACTTGCACACTGAATAGCACAAAACTCAGCTTCATAAATCATAGGATGCTTCACACCTTATTGGGAAAATTAACCCTCTGTGTACGGCGTCTGCGATTTCCACAGGATATGAAGTACGTCTAATACAGGTCGCGTGGAAATAGCTTGCTAAGTTTATTTCTGTTATTTTCAATACGGATCCCGCTTTTTCTCCGTGTAGACTAAGAATATTGTAATACAGTCAAAAGTCGTTAATTCGGACACCCATAATCCGGAATAATCTATAATCCGGGCCTCAAAGCTAAAAACTTTCTGCGCATGCGCCGCATTGACACATGCGCATAGGCGTTTACGCGTGCGCGTAAGACCTTTACGACTGCGCATATGCGTGTGCGCAGGCGCAGAATACGTTTTTTCGTGTTCGTTTAATCTATAACGGACGCTATAAGCTAAAATTATCTAATTATCTATTTCAGTTAATGTTGATGATTGTGTTGTTCCATAATCTTCGAATTGGATGCGGCTTATTACTTTTTGCAGACTGTAAAAGCAATTTTATAAAAGTAAACTTGAACTTTCGATTATGTCAAATAGAATTTCCGATGCTGGAGCTCCCAAAGTATCTACAAAACGAAAGTATGTTTCGATGTCCGTCAAACAAAAAGTGGAATTGCTGCAAAAAATGGATAAAGACATGAAGAAGGTGACAGAGAGGTTAGTGAAAATGAAAACATTTCGATTGACAAGTTAGTCGGTATTCTCGGCACAACAATTACGGGACTTGAACAGCGGAACTTTGTAACTGAACAAGAAAATTATGTTGTTTATAGAATTAAAGAGAAAGTATTATCACATAAAACGAAGCAACTTAAACAACTTACATTGAAAGAAATGTTTAATAAAGTAAACAAATAAATATATAAGCTTTTTTTTTTTTTTTTTTTGTAAATTTTGATACCCTTTAGATCATAATTGTTCGTTATTTCATAAATTAAGGTTTCATATTTTTAATTTTAGAATTTCTTGTAAGATGCCATCTTACAAGATTTAAACTGATGATCTATAATCCAGAAAAATCGATAATCCGGAATCGCCGAAGTCCTGACGAGTCCGGATTAACGACTTTTGACTGTACAGTAGAAGTCCAGAAATCTGCAAAGCTTGGGACCAGAGGTTGTGTGGATTTTAGGATTTTGCAGATTTCAGGACAGAAAAGATAAATCATAATATTCAGACTAAAAGTGCAAAATAAATAAGGTGTATTAGATACATTTAATTAAATTATTACATACATTATTGCAATAACTTATTATATGCATTAAATTATTATTACATATATAAATTGGTTATATTATTCATTGCATTATATATACACAGCATTGAGGTTTGCCGATTCATGCAAAGATTTTCAGTATTTAAACAGCTTTTCTTTGTTTTTCCGTTTTTCAACATTGCAAGCAGTAAAATCATGAGTGCGTTTCTTATCTGTTATTGTATTGAAAAGGGCTGAAATTTAAAATATTCTTAATTTATTCACAAAATATATGGATTAAAAAAAAAGGCAGCACTAAATAATCTCGTGAAATAACAAAGCTCAGAAAATACAACAATGTGAATCGTGAACTTGAAGAGTTGATTGAACTGTCTGCTTTTTTACCTCGATGCAGATTAGAGGGGAAAAAACTTTTATCATGATGGCAATAATTTGGTATTTCCGTTATGACTCATTATTATTTGGTAATTATGACGACATTATTTGGTAAGTATTTTTTCTTCGATATTTCGTACTCAATGTTGCGGTTTAGGGAACCTATAAACTGAATGTTTATGTTTTGAGACACAACGCAGATTTCAGGAGTTGGCGGATTTCAGGTCGGCGGATTTTCGTTAATTGACTGTATTCATATTTTACGTTTTGTTTTGCATCTAGACAACACTACAGGTTTATAGCATAGTAAGGGAATACTATTGTTTGCATTTTTATATTTTTATTTCATGCATGCGCCGTAAATGTATGTTTTTTAAAATTAAAAAAAACTATTAAAATTTTTGCATTACTCTAATTTCTTATAAATATGTGAATTATGAAACATGTCTTCGTCATGAAAATAGAAAATTTATTAAAAAAAAAAAAAAAAAAAAAAAAAAAAAAAAAAAAAAACCACCATCCCATATTTCAGAAATAGAATATATCTAAATCACACCGTATAAGGAGGGTTGATAAACAGCTGGCACTAGCCTGTATATGATTTTAATTGCATATTCACTTAGAAATTGAATAACCGTTGAATTCCTTCAACAAAAAATTGGACTTTTTTATAATAGTCTCTGATAAACTAAACAATCTCATCAGAGTTAATGGTAATCTAAAGTGAAAGTATCATTACTGGGTTCTTGAATGAAAAGGTTATAAAAATTAGAGATAGCCTTCTAATTAAAATTTATTTCTTAGCACTAAACATAAAAATTAAAATATCAATTATATATAGAGCTAACAAAGAACAATGTTCAAACCATTGAATTCTCACTAACCTGACATAACTGAGATTGAAGAAGGAAGCATGAAAATAGATTTTAAATACATTTTAGCCACAGAGAATCAAAGACAGCATCATACTCTCAGGGGAATAAAGTAATTCACTGACATATAATATAAATTTTAAGTTGCACAGATATAAAAACACTACTTTAACGATAATGCATTAACTGATTTGAAAAGTATAGCTTTGTTCTTTTGCTACCTTAACACATCATAACTCAGTATTTTAGTAGAAACATTTAACCCTCCAAGGGTTACAGACATAAAATTCGATACACAAAGATGGCTTGCCAATTCATTACACAAGAAAATTTCTCCCAGCTCTTGATCTATGTTTTTCAGATTATGTGCATATTAGAAGAAAAGGAGTCAAGGTACAAAGTTCATGGGTCATTTTGGAATTAAAATCAAAAAAATATTAATTATTCATGATATTTTGAGGAATTTTGAAATTTCAGAAACAAACTTGTAATGCTTGGAGGGTTAAAAAAATATTTGCTTAATAAACTCACTTATTTTCCTATTCAACTAATTAATCCCATTTTTTCTAGTTAATTACTTAGATTTCGAACATATAATTTAATAACAGCTTTTCAAACTCTCAAAAATTTATACATATAATGATATTTTGATCTATAGTACAATATGGTGATATTCTTTTTTCTGCAATACAATGAAATCACATTCAGTAAATTGATATACTGATCTTCATATCAAAAGTATTAACTTTTTAGCAGACGAAGACAAGAATTTTATCAATAAATAGTCACAAAAATGTTAAATCTCCTAAAAATATTGCACTTCCCCCAAACTTACTTTTAGGCATCCCTTTTCATAAACCATTATTAATTATTATTATGTTACACCAAACTCCCAAATTTCAATCTGCCAATCTTAACTTATAGGCCTGCTTTGTCTCAAAACCAAAAAGATTTTAAACTTCGAAAATAAAAACTTTTGCTACATACATAAAACAAACGCAAAGTATGGTGTAGTTTCAAAAATTAATAGTTGTTTGCTCACTTGCATTTGCACACTCCACGCTATCAGCAGTAAAAACTGTCCATGTTTTTCATACAGTAATTACAGTTCACATCCCATACTTACACCCTAACTAGTTTTTCAAGGAAGGCATTGCAGCACAAGAAAACGTATTACTATGTTTTCCTTTCAGGTGATTATAATTCAGCATTAGCTTTGTGTAAGCTTTAAAAAGGCATAGCATGTATAAGAATAACATAACTAAGCAGTACCAATAATTTACACTATCAGGTGGTTTAGAAGGAAATTAGATCTTGCATAAAAATATGAGTCCTGATAAACTTTGTGTTTCTGATGCATGATTTCTTTGTGTTTCACTTAAAGCATACATGAATCATTTCAGCAAAATAAGTCAAAGGCTATAGCTTGGAAGGAATTACGGATTGCTAAATGGTCATGTTCACAGTTCATTTAGAAATGATGCTGTAGGATGTTTTGCATAAATAGCTGTGTTTTAAACCACATAAGAGACAACTGGTCCAGACAGATTAGCAGACAAACGTTGTACAGTCATTAGGAATTTTGATGCTGAAGATGTGAGAAATGAGCAATGCCCTCGCCAGGACTCGAACTTAGACCTCTCGAATATGTGCTGAGTGTGCTACCATTACACCATGAAGACAAGATGTTGGAAATGGAAGGAAAGATTATACAGAAGGACTCACCATCCCCCAAAAAGAAGACATTCCACAAAAGTGGTAAAGTAAACAGACACAATGTCTGCATGCAGAAAATCAACAATTGCATGCACATAGCCAGCATTTCTGTGCAACATTCTATGAGAAAGTCAGCGCATGCTGGAAAACTAGCTGTTGTCTCAGTTAAATACAATGATGATAATTAACACAACTGGATGAAGCTCCTCTCATTTTCACAAGAAGATGTATGCTTTATCCTTAGTATCCAAGTAGATAGTTATCATCTCAACTTAGTAGCACTGGACTGGACATGTTGCAAATAAAAACAACTTTCTCCTTTGGCCAGCCTGTTCACCAGCCTTTACCTCAGGCAAATTTTTCCTCTCAGGATTCATAAAAGATTACACTTCATCGTACATATCCATTCAGAAACTGTAATTGGATAATGTATGAAATGAAAGCCATTACAACAGGTATGCTGGAAAATTTAATATGGATATGTATCAAGTTTACATTACATGTTACAAACATGTTATCATGTTTTCATGTACATTATGGATATGTATCATGCTTAGGTTAAGTTAGATTACTTGATTATAACAAAGCACATATAGGTGACTTTCTAAGGAAAATTGGCTTGTGTTATGGATACGGGGAAAAGCTAATCTGTTCATTGAGTTTGGACGCAAATCAAATTATCAGTTTTAGTTACTATGTGTTTCATATGTGCACACATTCTGAAGGATTATAATTAACAAATCAGAAAACTTGGCTATTTGCCACTGCTGACAGTGTACATACCCTACATGATGAGAAACAAATTTTTTCTTCACTTCTGAAATCCCACAATTCATTTTTGTACATCCTGTATTTCTATGTTAACTATTACAGTCAAAAGTCGTTAATTCGGACACCCCTAATCCGGAATGATCTATAATGCGGACCTCAAAGCTAAAATCTTTCTGCGCATGCGCCGCGAGGCGTTTACGCGTGCGCGCAAGACCTTTACGACTGCGCATATGCGTCTTCGCAAGCGCAGAATACTTTTTCGCGTGCGCGTTTATTGTATAACGGACGGTATAAGTTAACATTATCTAATTATCTATTTCAGTTAATGTTGATGATTGCATTGTTCCTTAATCTTTGAATTGGATCCGGCTTATTATTTTTTGCAGACTGTAAGAGCAATTTTATAAAAGTAAGCTTGAACTTTCGATTATGTCAAATAGAATTTCCGATGCAGGAGCTCCCAAAGGATCTACAAAACGAAAGTATGTTTCGATGTCCATCAAACAAAAAGTGGAATTGCTACAAAAAAAGGGATAAAGACATATCCTTTGTTTATCTAATCGTACCGAAATCTGTTTATCAATTTCATGCAGCTCTGCACGCGGGGGGGGGGGGCGTCGCGGCGCGCAATGAACTGGAAGTTGATCTGTCAGCACTATCGTTATCTTCAGGGCAGATGTTTTTATTTTATTCGGCTTATAATTCATTACTAAATGTAGTACTTTATCTCGATGTACTCCGTCTTTAATATGATTTAAATCAAATTCCTCATCATTATAAATATCACGAATACAAATCAAATAGTTTTCTGGTTGCAATTTTCTAATTTTGGCTATGCGTAATGTATGCTTTACGCATGCGCGCGTTGAAAGAAATGTTTAATAAAGTAAACAAATAAATATTAAGCTTCTTTTTTGTAAATTTTGATACCCTTTAGATCCTAATTGCTCATTATTTTATAAATTACGGTTTCATATTTTTAATTTTACAATTTCTGCATGCCATCTTACCAGATTTAAACTGATGATCTATAATCCGGAATCACCGAAGTCCCGACGAGTCCGGATTAAAGACTTTTGACTGTATTTTCTATTTTATAAGACACACCTTGATTTTGGGGCATGAAAATTTTAAAAATAATTAATTAATTGGTTAACAGACTGACTTTTATTAGTATGCTTCATTACAATTTCATTACAATTTGAAAATACTTCATCTCGACGAGTCTGGATTAAAGACTTTTGATTGTAATTATTATGTATTAATTATAAAGATTTAATTTATTAAAATAACAATGTGTTTAGTATTGTGTACCAACTGTATTTGCTGCTTTGCTACCTCTTAGAACTAAACAATTTTTTCTCAGAAATTTATCATTTTAATAATTACTTTCAATAGGAATTTCATGAACATTCAACACACATACAAAACACTGACTATAATTATTGATAAGTATTGAAACCTATATATATATATATAATAGATTCTGTAGTAGAACACAGGCAGATGAATCTATAATGAACAGTGAGAATTTTGATATCGTAGAATACTGAAATGCAGATCCACAATGAGTAAGAAATTTGGCAGTCAAGGAATATTTAATTCAACATTTATTTCAGCAAACATGTTGCAGCCACAAGCAAGTTGGCACAAGAATTGTGCCTATTCCAAGAGGTTTACATTTTTGAAAACTTTGCAGCAAGAAGGAAGCAGCAGACAGACAGCACTCCAGATAGGTCAAAGCGTTGAAAGCAAGTGTGTTATTTCAGGGTGAAATCTTAATTCAGACTGAGTTAGTTTTGCTTCACAATACATTTTGAGTGAATAGTTGATACTGCTGTAAAATTACTATTGGCTGCTTGAGTTTTAGTTCCATTTAGATCACCAGAATTACATAAGAGTCATTATGACATGGATTTATCTAGTTATGCAGTGCAGAGAGAGGTTACTATTTTTAGAATTGAGATGGGAAATTTACATTGCTAATTTAATCTTTTACATATTCTTTTTCCCCCTTTTTTCCCCTTACATATATATATAAACCACAAACTCAGTTACAATTTGTTTTAACAAAATTAAAGTTAAAAGATTATTTTTTAAGAAAGAAAATTTTTTAATAAAAATTTCTAAAAAGGAAAACACTACTACTATTCACAACTGTTTAAAACAGAACAAAAAAAAAAAAAAAAAAAAAAAACTCTAATTTAATAAATGTTGATTCCCAGTTTCAAAATCACAATTATATTAGTTCAAATTGATATTCAGAATTCACCAAAATGCTTGAATTAAATTACATTATTGAAAGCATAATAGTATTAACTTATTGCAAAATTTCCCTTTCAGCCTAAATCTTATTTATAACATTAAATTTACTTTACAAACACACACCTAGTTCTCAATATGTATGATGTATTTACATAGGAAACTGCATAATGGACATTACAACACAGATAAATCTTTATGAATAATATGAAAGTAAAAAAAATAAGTTGTAGCAATTTCCAAATTTTAAATTTAACTGCCACTTTCTGATTATCTGTATCTCCCCTTCTTGAAAAACTGCTAACCACTGGTGAAAATGCATGCACAATAGCGTATTTGCTAATGCTATAAATATTTTTTGGCATCACATAATACATAAAAGTCTAAAATAAGTTATCTGACAAAAAAATGTTTAACTTCACCATATGCATAATTTATATATTAAACAGACCTATATAAAATTACCAATTACATTAACAAGCTATTTGAAAATTTTCACAAACAAATAAATAAGTCAAAATGTGCCTGTGACATGGAATTACACAGTGATCATATTAAAACTTAGGCCACCTGCTCAGCCAACTGAAGGGAAATTTCAGTTATTGTTATTTCAAGGTATGCACTAAAGATTGTGATTATTTAAAATAAGAGAGCTCTCATGGTTATGGTTACAGAGAACAAATTTCAAAATTTTCTAATGCCTAATTTTCTAATTCTAGCATCCACTCTTTCCATGAGAAAATTGATCAGTATATTGGAAAACCATAAATCGTGCTGGAATGATACATGATAAAATACGTGGAATGATACATGATGGAACACGTATGACAAAAATTTCCAACATAAAACATTTGAAAAGAACAGCATTGTAAAGCACCAATGATAATGCACAGAGGAAGTGCACTGACACTCTTTGCATAATTCACAGGGATAGACAGTAGAAGTAAAAACCACAGAATACTATGTGCAAAGATTTGCTTGTGAAAAACCTTTAACAAGCAGTGTGGGAAGATTGTTTCTTCAATCAGGTGTTCGAACATGCTAATAAGGTGACACTTGCAAGGACACAACAAGGTGAATTCATAAAGGTATTTTTTTTGTGCAAGGAAAATGCTTCTGAAGCAATGCGAGTTTATTAGCCAAATCATAAGCGAAGATGAGTCCAATGTTCCATAAAAATTGTATGTGATCTGGAAAACAAATTGAAAGAAATTGGACACACATGTGATAGGCCTTAAACCTATTGGTTATTGTAGAAGTGGATAATATGATTACTGCAGATCCTTTAAATACTGCAAGAAGTGCTGCTTACAGTTTGGATTTACTGAAATCCACAGTCCTCAAGCTTCTGCACTTTGTCCTGCAGGTGCTTTCTTATTGATTCCAGCACGTTCAGATGTTGCAACATGAAAATGAGCATCAACATATCAACTTTGCAAATTTTTTTTTCTCAGCAGATGTAATGAAATTAGCAGATGGCTGCAACGGATATTATGGATACATAAGGTGTTTTTTTCCTCAACTGGGATTGCAATCTCCCCAAACTGCATTCACTGAGCTGAAGAAAATTTTCACAAAGTAGTATCAGCACTTTTACACAAAACTATCAGCACTAACACAAAACTGCACGGGGCAGCATTGCAAGCATATTTGTTCCGGACCATACTTCTTCAAAGAAGTCACTTCTACAGGTATCCATCACAAGTACTTGATAAACAACAATGTTGCAGAAATATGTAATTCCAGAATTGCAGCAGTGAAATATAATTAAGGACACTGTATGGATGAAAGTTAATGCTCCTCCACCCATCACCATATGTGTTCGTCAAGTGCTGCAACAGCATCATGGCCACCATGATAGCCGACCTCACTGCGATGCATTTCTAATTATAGGGTTATCTAAAATCTAAAAAGAAAGTTATACAGATTTTCTGCTGCGATGTTACGTTTATCAAAGTAGTCAATATCCTGTATGCAAGGCATAATCATCTGCGAAGGAAGGCACATTAAAAACGTCTAAAATTCCAATAAAATCCCCCCTGTGTTATCAGTGACCCTTTACAATGCTTTCTTTGCAAATGTTTTATGCCAGCAATTTTTGTCATACATGAATTGGTCCAAGCCACTTATGGTTTTTACTGATCTACGCTCATGTTCATAAATATGCAGATAATGCCAGCTCCAGCAAATAAAGGATCCAAAACAAAACAAACATGACTTATTCATAAAGTCCATTTATCAAACTAAACATAAAGAACAAAAAAGATGGTATAGATATGATATCATTCATACAAACTATGATTTTTGTTCCCGAGAGAAATTACAAAAAATATCTCCCTTACTAAAACTTAGCATTACATGATTGGTATGATGGTTAATACAGTGTATGCCTCCCAGACGATGAAATACAGTCCGTACAATGCCTAGGCATGCTGAGTATCAATTATTGAGCTGATTATTGCTGAGTGGGGAAGATTCTTACACTCAGCAAGCAATGCTTTCCGAAGTTCTGTAAATGTAAGAGGTGCTTGACGAGCTGCAATTCTTTGGCAAAGCATATCTAAAACATGCTCTATCGGATTCAAATCAGGTGAGAATGCTGGCCATTCAATACAAATGATATCCTCAAATTTAAGGCAATCCTTTACAATACGTGCATGGTGAGGATGGACGTTGTCATAAATAAACACAAATTCTGCACAAATGGCACCCCTAAACAAATGTACATGTTATTCCAGAATGATGTCCCATTAAATTTGGCTTGTCATGGTTCTGATCTGAACATGAAGAGCTGTTCTGGAACCCAGTATAATTCCACCCCAAACGAGCAATCCTGCACCAACATAACAGTGTCGTTCAATGATTTTATCTTGGTGGTAGCGGGTATCTGGAGTTCTCTATGTGAAAATCTGACTTGAATTAGAACGCGAGCTAAACTTGGACTCGTCGGAAAACATCACACAAGCTCACTGATGATGTTGGCATTGTATGTTCTATACTCCAGGCTAACTGCTGGCGACAGCGAGTTGCCGTGAGCAGAACAAATCTGACAGGCTTGTGAGCATATAGACCAACCTGTCCCAAACATCTGTACATGGTTCGTCTTAAAACTGCTGTACCCGTGAAAAAAGACAGCTGACAAGACAGGTCTGATGCTGTACTCCGTCTGCCTCTTTTGGCAGTTACTGCCAAATACTGGTCGTCAATTGGTGTTGCAACTCGAAGGCGAAATGTACTGTAACATCTACTGACATTTCTATCATTCTGGAATCATTGCCCAAATCTAGAGATGACACTTTGGGCTAATCCTACAAGTTCCTCAGATTCTTCCTTCCGAGTACGCCCACATTCCAGACGGCCGATAATTCTACCACGTAAAAAATTATCCACATTCATCCTCTCTATCATAACTATTCGGTTGCAGTACAGGGCGGCTTACAGAATGCTTGTGAACAATTTTACTTATTTGCTATCATTCTTTATATACACTTCTCTTATATTCTCATCATTGTGATGTACCATCATCATCATCTGATAGCTTCCTGTAATTTGCATATTATTCTTGAAGGTGTATGCGATAATTCTAAAGGTGAAATTTTCACTTTAGAGTTGATTTCCGTGTGATTCTGAATTATCCTTAATTTATAGACATGAGTGTTATTCCACGAGAAAAAAAGAAGGATTTTGCCTTTCAAAATGTTTTTCACTGTCATTCTATTGTTTTAAATCATCAAATAACAATATCTGAAAATTTATTTTGATTGGTTGAGTTGATATGGGGGGAGGGTTTTTTTTTTTTTATATAAGCCCCCTGTATAAAGCAAAAAATGGTTTATCAAAAAAATTTTGTGTTAACCATACAAATTTTAAAATATACATGGTGTATCGGCAAAATTTCAAGACTAATAAAAAAACTAAAACTCTTCAAATGTTTCAGTATTTTATGAATTCTGAAATTGATAATTGCAAAACAAACTTAATATCTCGACTTCTACTAATACTGTACATCTCTTGATATATTCTAAAAACTTCCAGAGGAATTTTGTAGAAGCTAACTTATTAGAATACTTTTTCACTCTTACTAACATTTTCATATTATCTAAAATGCTATCAAACTTACATCTTTTAATGTGAAGTTTAACTTCAAGGAACAGAAAGCACAAATAGCAAAAAGGAAAATGTTCATTCACATGACAATGGTTAATAAAAGCAATATTTTTATTTGCAATAAAATGCTTAATGATAACTATATTCTGCAAAAGGGCAACAAATTTCAGTATCTTGATCAAGCTTCTTGTGTACTAATCCAATGAATTCTTTTCAGAAATTATAATATTTATCGCAGAATAAGTTAATGACGAATTCTTTTCAGAAGACTTCTTTCCGGAAGGCATTATATGTTTTCATCATCTTTAAGCAAAAATGCCCCATAAATTACTCTCTACTAATTAAAGAAAAAGTCTTCACTTGAAGTTTCTAAATGAAAAGCTCTTTTGTTCAAAGCAAATTTTCTATACCCATGCAGATAGTTGTCATTTTGTTATGAATGAAACATCATCTTTCATCACTAGTAATAAAACATTGACAATAAAATCAGAGTTACCACCTGTCATTCTATTAAATCTTCACTACTTTTTGTTTTTCAGACTTTGGATAGGTTATTAGCTGAATAAACTCAAACAAAAAGTTTCAATTTAGCAGTCTTTCTGTAAAGAAATGATATTGTTAAGAAAAAGTAGACGTGTTAGTAACCACTGCCACTAGTTATTGTTTGGCAGATCCATAGAAATGAAAAATTCAATGTTAAAACCATGCAGATGCACTATGTATGTATAGTATGGACCAGAGAACTGTTTTAAGGAGGAAAACATAATTAACAAGATTAAAAACAATAAACTACAATGGGACCAACATATACCTGGATCATTCGAAGAGGAGCATGGCTGATACAGCCTTGAGTTACTTTTGTCAGTGTGTCTGTAAACATATTGCGCAGCTCATGAGCTTTGCTATACACAATATCTATCTGTGGCCACCATGGCAGTCTGGGTTGAGTGATGATGCGATAGAGAGAACACACTAAAACAAAGTGGTAAGTAGAAGGAGAATTGAGATTGAGGCACACCTTCAAAGCTTCATTATTATGAGGATTGATGCGAAAGCATGACACAAAACAGTCAATCATTAAGTCTATATCCTGATTGATGGTGGCCTGGCTACGACAAAATGGCTTGGATGGATTGAAGAGCAACAGCTAAAAATATATTTAAAAACTATGTCAAAAATGGTAGCTACATAGAATAGCTTACAAAATATGCATATATAAAATCATCAGTATACTTATTAAATAACATATTTTTCACTAAATTAATAAGCACATTTATACAGATGCAAAATAGCACATGCAGAAGTGAAGTCACCTAATATAGATTGGAAAAATATTACACAATATTCTAAAACGAACAAAACTTTAACGGTTCTCTTTCTAAAATTATGTACAAATTAAGAATGAATAAACATGTATAAAGCATTCAATATTTAGGTAGAGGTATATTCATATTTATTTTTTTAATTTTTCTGTGAGTGGTGAATTTTTAAGATATGTTTTTAAAGTGAATTATAAAGTGCAGCTTTTAATTAAATAATCATCAATTTAAATTAACTTTAGTTGAAGAATAGTTATTAAGATGCATATAAGTTTTTCAAGTAAGATTAAATATAATAAAACTTAAAAGTAATAATAGCATATTCCTCTAATTGCTTAACATATAATTTAACATAGCCTTTCTAAGTTGTCAGAATAAATTTGACATAACTTTTCCAAGTTGTAATGACAGAATAAATTCTGTAAGCATACAAAACTGATAATGTCGATGACTAACATTTTGCAGTTAGCCATCAAGATTCCCTGAAAATAGTCAACCTTTGTAAATATTAAGTAAAATTATTATTTTTCTCATATCCACAGATACCTTAGTGATTTCTGTCCTATAATCATTATTATTCTTTTCAAATTGCCATGCATGCAGGCATATGCAAGTTTTACTCTAAATAATTCCTCTAGCACACAGCTTTATCTTGATTTTTGAGTACTAACTAAACGAAAACATCAAAGTAAAAAAATTTCGGATCAACAGATTTTATTCCCTATGGACAGTTTAGTTAAAATAATTAATAATACAATAATAGAATTTGAATAGCAGTAGAATAAAATTATTAAAACTGCAATAAAAACTTTAATGCATACAATACCTTTAGGTCATTAATAACAGATTGTACCAAGGAGAAAACAACATTGTTGCTATCCAGAATATTTATATATGTTGATGTTTTACATAAACGGACACACGTCACAGCTGCAGCTTCACACAATTGTTTACTTGCAGCATGAGGAACAAGAGCTTTCTTGACACTATCAACAAACTGTCTCTAAAATAAAAAGACAGCACAGTTATTATAAATACTTATTACTTCAATTTATTTAAAATCTCCGCTAAATAAAATAAATAGTTTGATAATACACAACATACAACAAATTCTTCTTTCAAAATTAAGCATTACATAATCTTCAATTAAATGGAAAACAGTACATTTCATTTGGTTAGTCTCAGAATCAATGCCCAAGATTATATTAATCTATGTGTATTGTAATGCAGCAAATTTATAATGAGCATTTTATCATTAAATATCATAGCCGCTAACCTTGAAATATGAAAAACTGGAAGGTTCTCAAGCCCAAAAATTGTGTTTCTTGGAATGTGCTGTGCAGCAATACCATTTCAGAAGAATGCTAAATTGACGTAAATTCATGTGATATTAATATTTAATTAGGTTTCTAAATTTTGTTCTTTGGTACTGAAAAGATCCACAGTAAAGAAGGAAAGATTAATAAAAAATAAAATTAATAATTTATATATGCATTACTGTATGTATAAAAAAATGTAGTGATTAAAACATTAAATAGAAATAGTAGTACCACTGGTTGAATCTTCATAAAATTTTCAACTAATATCGACATTAGATTAAGACAACCAGATCATATAAAATTTCATAGCAAATTATGCTGAAAATGATTATGGTTGGAAGAATGAAATTTGCACAAGCTAAGTTTAATTAATTCATTAAATTTTGTTTATTACTGAAAAACCACTTCTCTTAGTAAAGGCTCTAAATTAAAACTGGGAGTCTTCCAGTAAAAACCATAAAAGTTCACAACTATGTAATAGAGAAACATAATGGCAATAATTAAAGACGTCTTAAAGCATTTACAACATGCCTAAAAACAGCATACACAGATTGAGTAAGAATAAAAAAAGTTATTTGGCACCCGAGCACCTTTCCCCCACCACCTTCATTTTTCACAGAAGCACATTTAGCAGTTGTTTTCTTTAGCCACATCTCAAGAAGATTAAGATAGATAATATACACAGGGAATATACAATGTGCCAAACAGAAAGCATGTATAGTCGTTCTATTCTACTCTCTATAAAATATAATTTCTCAAAATTGGCAAACAATAAGGTAAAAACATAGGTAACCCATAAGGTAAAAATCATGGTACTTTTGAAGGTCTAAATTAATACCTGAAATTTAGGACTATGAGATAAAAGATATGTAATGACTTACATAGTTCCCATTACATGGGAAATATTTGTATTATGTTTCTGCCATTCATCACAGCAAGCTTTATCTATCCAATGAAACAAGGAGTTATCCAGAATATAAACTACCGACTGTATTTCATGTGTTACTATGTGAACTTTGAAATTAGTGATTATGATTTTCAAAAACAATTCACACTGAGAGATGCCATATTTACTTTGTCTCTTGCTTGGAAAGGTGCAAAGTGATGTAAAGGTACTTTACATCACTTAAATTGTGACATATGACCTTATTTGGCGACAATTAATCAAGTGATGAAGATTCTCTTGGTTTTTAAAACATGAATGGCGCTAACTGTTGATATCCTGGATTTAGTTAGAGAGAAGAGATTCATAATATTTCGTTTAATTTGTAACTTTCATGTAATATATGATAATTTTAAAATGTTATTTAATTCTGCTTTTCTGAAATATAATATCATATGCACCTGCTTTAATTTTAAATAATCTGTTTAATTTTGAGTACCAATTATTTACTGACAAAACTTGAAAACACAACCAGATAAGTTCAAGAAATATATATACAAAGAATCAGGGAAAATCTCTTGTCCAGAATCAGTGAGGTCTCATTGCTGACAGTTAAGACAGATTCTACAGCATTATCATACTTTCTGTAGAAAACACTGGTTAATATACTGAGAATTTTGGCACATACCTGTAAAATTTTCATTAGATTACTGAGGGCTATAACTGCATTTGTATAGATTACACTGATTGGATTTCATTAGTCCGCAAATTCAGTAAATGTGTACATATCTATGACATTTACCTTAAATGTTTCAAGTCATACTTACAGCCACACTTTGGTTGGATATTTTAGGACATGAACAAAATTCGATGAAATTCATGAACATATCATATAGATTTTGAGCTAAATATGCTATATAACTTTTCAATTATTTGAATTTCCATCTTTCACTGCTAGGAAATAGTTAAATGGAGATCAGCATACTATGGGTACACTTTTTTAAATTTAGAGTGTTTTTTGGGGAAGGGGTTGTGTATATAGTCATTTGATTAGAAGTACACTATTGCACTTGGTCGGTTTAGCCACTCATGTGTTAGGTGATATTTAATCACTCAAAACACTTCTCCCAGAATAAAAAAAAATGACATAAAAAATCATGCTTTATTTACATTCAGTTTTACTAGATATAATATCATTTTTCCCCTCATGTACAAATGCTTGCCATAGTATTCAAAGTAATATGATATATTGAAAGAGCATGTTCTTTGCATGTACTGAATATCACTGAACACATGGCCAGTTTTTAAGCATTTTAGACAAATAATTTGTAATTTATGTACCAGTGGAATTAAAAAAAAAAGCACCTATGTGTAACTTGCATGTATATGTACGTGAAGGGTCAATAAAGAAGAAAACTGGGGGGAAACAATAATAAATTACTACATTCTGTTTTGAATACCTTTATGAACCCAAAATTATTTCCTCACATTTAATTTCTATATAAAGTCAGAGTAAATTTTGTAACTGACAATTTTTTAATAATGTTTACTACTTTTACTATTTTTACTACTATTTTTAATAATTTTTACCTATACTAATATCCCTATTTTTTCATAAAATGAGCTATTTTTATATAAAAAGAATTTCCGTTAGTATTCCTTCTTGAAAATGGAATATGGATTAGCATTATCATTAAAAGGGAAATATTATTAGAAGAAAAAATATAATAATGTTAATATTGCAATTGCTTGAATAAAGTTATTAAACATAGATGAAATAACTGATAATATTCAGAATAATCCGAAAAACTAAACACATTAAGATTATACAGAACACAGGAGGAATAACAATTTAATACATGTAGGCATGTATCCCACTAAACAGCTAATAAAAAATGAAAATTCTGTTTGAAGATTCTCACTCTCAATAACAGCTGCTGCACAAAACAGATACAAAGCTTTCTCACAGTATTTAAATGAGGACTAATGTTTATTAGAAAATTATTATTAAATAGAACCTCTTCCAAAAAGCTGTCCACTAACTAACAAAGGAAAAAATCCCATTAATGAATGATGAAGTACAGCTTACTTGCTTCTATAAAAATGTAAGAAACAGCCAAAAAAAAAAAAAAAAAAAAAAAAAAAAAAAAAAAGCTGAAATTCAATTGTAAAACTATCAACTTTTCAAGCAAACAATTATTAACATTAGCAAGCTCATTGCTACAAATTAGAATTCTGCAACAACAGTATAAATATACTTACAAGCTATACTTCTTCTTTAATTCTCCTAAATATATACTTCATTTGTATATAAGGGTTTGTTTCATATTACAGATGGTTACTGTGGCTACTAAACAAGACTTACTTAAGTATACTTCATATATAAAAAAGCATGAATGCTTAAAATTGCAAATTCGAGTTAAGTTTATAATGAAAGCACCAACAGAAATTTAGGCAAATCATTCAACCAGTACATCTCAATCTTTAGATTGGCTGTGACTTAAAGAGATTTATTTTATGTGTGCAAAACTAGCATACACTTTGCTGATTCCATTCTTATGTGATAGGTTTTGCTGCTTGTTAACGGGTGATGATCACCACACCTAAAAGTTACATTTTAAATGGTGGCATATTGAGTAAATCTCCTGCCAGAACTACAACTGCAAATTTGCTTAATCCTTATCATACAGACAATTTTATGAAATATGGTATGAACTGGCTGCCATCTATTCAGAAACCAATACAAATAACAGTTGAACTTTTTTTTTTTTTTTTTTTTTTTTTTTTAAATGAAACTACTCATAAATGATGTTTATATACTAAATCAGCACAGATGTATTACTTCATACTGCAAGCTAACTCCAAGAATCTTATCAAATCTTAGGAAGTTATTATGAAATAAAATTTTCTTTGCAGTTTAGCAAACTAATTTGAATTCTATCATACTTTGTAGTAAAATTAAAATAAACTTTGAAAACATACTTTTCTTATTTATAATTAAAATATCATTGTTTATTTTATACAAAAATACATGTCTGTAAAGTCTTTAAGATGTTCTGACGGTTTAGATTTCTGTAAACTGGAATAGAATCTTTTCCTAAACACAAAAGACATCACAAAATTTGCTATTTTGATATCTGCAAAGCTATGCAACATTACAAGAAAAAGAAAATATGTGAAGAAATTTATGCATCACATAGACTTCCTGCACACTTTACAAAAAGAACCCTATCATCCTGCATCCCCAATAAAAATAATTTTATGCTTCTGCGAAAATAACTCAAAACAATGTCTACTTTATGCTAACACCACATACCCAATTAGCAAAAAATCTGAATAAATTTAAATGGGAAGGGGAAAACTTTTGAAATTACCTTGCGAAAATGTTCTGGAGACAGAGGAGCACCAGAGTCGGCATTAACAATCTCTTCCAATATTTTCTACAGAAAAAATAGAAATTTTCAGTTTATTAAGTTTTGAAAAGTCATTTTAAACCCTTAAACATAGTATTGTAATTTTAAAAAAGTACTCACAGCACATAAAACAAGCAGCATCATTTGCAGTGGCCAAGTGGCCATTCTTCTTTTATTGTTATTTTCAGCAAAATTATCTAACAGATCAAATAGACGATCACAACAATCTAGAAATGAATAGTATTTCAATTTAACAGAAGCTTAAGATTATATTTTCTACACAATATACTATATGAAAAATATTAAATTTTATATTTCACATTTATTTACCTATCCTAATAAGAGTATATGCACACTAAATTACATTGCTATTTATCTAATAAACAGTCATATGTAATCCATGCCATAATGCCTAGTACAGTCCAAATAAGCAAAACAAAACTATAAGCACAAACATACATATGTGATTCACAGATTCATGAGAAAGAGTGTGGTGCATTTTGAAGAACGTTTTTACATCTGTTTTTCCTATGTTATGCAGTTTTTTCAGAACAAGAGATGAAAAATGCTGCTTTTTATTATTGTACATTGAAATGCTCATTATGTATATCATTTTACATAGCAGTACAATGTTCCATTACATTGCATTTTCTTAAATTTGTGCACATTTCACTGTTAAAAATGTGAATGCTCTCAATAAAATATGTTAGTCCTTCATATAATCTAAAATAATGAAAATAATAATAAAAATGGAATGAGGTTTCCAAAATATTTCAAAACAGTTCATTAAGGTTAAAAATTTATTCTGAAATAGAATACCAATGAATTTTAACTGCAATAAATAAATATTCTTCTAATACTTCCTTTGAAAAAAATAATAATATTTCCATTTTGAACTGCTCTTTTCACCCTGTGATGATTATCTTACATCTGTTTTCTATTAGCAGTGAATTTTAATTGCTCTTCAAGACTATCCCATATACTTCAATAATTTACAGATGCAAATTTACAGTTTTTTCCCAATAATTTTAGAATGCTGGTTATAAGTTTCAGTTTCTACATTTAAAGTAAAGATACCAAATAATAAAATGTAACTGAAATTATAAGAAATTGCATGCATTTAATAGTCAATGCATTCAGTATCTTTCACAAGTCACAGAAACCAACCACTAACATCCATGGGTGGAGCCTACTTAAACATTGCATATTCATTCCTCCATACTTCAGCCATTTGCTTTCCAGCTGCCTGCAATAAAGGAAGCTTCCCCTACCAGCTCTTACTTTACTTCATTTATTTGCTCACAAGTGACTGCTTCTTACAACATATTGATATCGGCAACCTACTAGAAGAACTAGTCTACTCGAAGAAGGTTCGGATGAATTCTCTACTTTTCAACTGACTTTAAATGCTACATCAAATTGCTATGAACTCACACCATCAAATATATTTGCTTATCAATGCTACCACCTGATCAAAAATCAATCAACTACTACGCTGGGTGAGGGCCATGTCCAGGTACCTACATCTGAATGCCTGATTAATTGACACTTCGATACCTTACATTATTTTGAAAAGTAGTTTATAGCCATAATATATAAAAACAAAATCATTTTGTGAAATATATCATTAAAATTAACATTAATTAATAAAAGTATTCATAAATTAAAATACCATCATAGTGCTTAAAAAGTGAAATATATTATATATAGATTTTTTTATATAAAATAAAAATCATATACAAACTGACTGCACTACCTGATTTTTTTCACAGAAATCTGAGAAAAATGGTATCAGTAATGGTATTTAATTTAATTAATAATTTTATTTTAAGATAATATCCAATTCATGTGAAATATATTTTTCACTTTTAAATAATTACACAAAATAAATAAATTCAATTTAAACTGAAATAGAAAATGCAGGATGACAGACCAACACTGAATTAAATTTACAAGTATTTCTTTCAAAGATAATAAAAACAAATATAAATTATTTAAATTTTTACTGCTCATTAACCAGATTGAATATAAGGGACAGCAATGTGAGGTGTCTAAATGTAGTCAAAAAATGAGTTAAACAGGATGGTGATTGCATTTGAATAATTAAGTAAAAAACTGTGAGAGCTTTAACATGCTCTAAATTTTCAAGATAACCTTCTATTGTGTTTCTCCTAGTCAACAACTCTACAAAACAATTCTAAGTGTCTTACAGTATTGCACTTAAAATGGTTAAATTGAGAATCACTATAGAATTAAACATATTACCAGCTAATTCATCATTTGTTTTCCTTTGAAGTTCCATAAATTCATGGGGATAGGTATCCATCCAATTCCACACAGCCTAAAGAAACAAAAGTTTCACAGCTTGAACTTAACATTAAATAATAAAATAATAATAAAAAAAAGAAGACATGGTGCAAAGAAATTTTACATTACCTTCTCTAAACTGTTCATCAAAACTACATACACATTTTTCTTTAAACTTTTAAATTTTTGGTTAATTTCTGAAAAATATAAAATGTCAATATCCAGAAATAATAACAAACAATGCAAAATGCAAAAATGTCAGAAATACAGATTTTGACTAATTTTCAGAACACAATATATTAGCAAGCTGAGCATGGGCATAGCCAGGTACATTTGCAACCTCCTAAACAAGTACAATCCACCCCCCACCCCCCACTCAGATATTAAACAGGAAAAGCTTACAAAAAAATTATTCTCTTCCTTATTATTCTGTTAAATTTTTTCAGTGCAAAAAAATTCAAAGACCCATGGACCAAAAATCTTTCCTGAACTCGCAGTTTATCATGCAAACAACCAGCAGTCGGCCTGTCATTTGATACTGGGATAGCCTTTTAGCTATGCTCCTTTTAAAAAATACAAATGAGTAGCAGGTAATTAGTTGTTATTTCAAGACGTTCTTTCTGTAGACAGTAGTGGTTTTTTGTTATACTAATTCACAAATGAGCAAACCATTTCCTCGATGAGAACATTTGGGGGAGAGGCGTCAACAAAAGCTTTTCTTTGGAAAAAATTTGGGTCTATGCCATTTGAGAGTCTCAGATTTCTTTGTTGGGTTATTGGAAGGGGACAAGAAATTGTTACAATCTCATTTTTAATTTCATTTCTAATGACAATCTGATCGAGTGACAAAGCATTTAGCATTACTGTAGTGACAAAGCATTAAACAATCATAAAAAAAGCACATACTATAGAGCAGTGTTTCTCATAAATACACAAATTTAAAGAAATTACACAGGAGAGAATAAAGAGACATTTAAAGGAGATACATTACTTGATACTAATAAGATTAATCACCTGCCATATAAAAGTGTAAAAGAAATCTGTTGAGCTATGAACTTGAAACCTGAGTCTCCATTGTGGATTGAGCTAGAAGTAAAATTTCAAGTTTCTGCCAACAGCACCACATACTCACATGAAATCACTTTTTCAGCTTTAACATGATTAAATCTTAATGTCATTCAATGCTGAAAAACACTGAAGATGCTTTACATTATTAGGTATTTCTCCCACCTTCCTAGCATGGCTTCGTGGTGTAGTGGTCAACACGCTGAGCCGGTATTCCAGAGGTCCGTGGTTCGATTCAAGGCAAAGGCGGTTGCTCATTTTTCATCTCTCCAGCTTTTCCAATTAACCTAATGTCTCTACAGTGGCACCCGAACTAAAAGGGTGGGGATGATGATTTCTCTCCACCCAGGATTTGCCAATTGGGTCCCCTAAGGCCCACATCACACAGCGTTTGTTTAACACTAACAACTGTTTCGGACAATTTTTCTACCTGGTTTACTATTGAAAAAAAGACGTGTGACTTTTTCCTTCCTTTCCAAAAAAATTGCAGGTTGTTCGTTTTCAACCAATGAGCTTTCAGCTTTGAATGCTATCAGCTTGTTTGTAATGGGAAGCCAGGTTCTCCTGTGTTAACCCCAAAGCGATCTATGGTGATTGGCTGTTGTGACAAAGCAGAAAAATTGTTCCAAAACAGTTGTTCTTCCGAAACAAACCGACGTGTGATAGCAGCCTTAAAAAAAAAAAAAAAAAAAACAGTCGCGCTTTAAAAGTGGGAGTATATGAGGTATTTCTCCCACCTTCCTAGCGTGCCTTCGTGGCGTAGTGGTCTGCACGCTGGGCCGGTATTCGAGAGATCCATGGTTCGATTCCCTGCGAAAGCGGTTGTTCATTTTTTATCTCTCCAGCTTTTCCAATTAACCTAATGTCTCTACAACATCAAGCAGCATCAAATATTGTACAAAGATCTAATTTGTTATGGAACAAATAACAAGCCCATTCATATCATTAAAACGTGATTTTCTTTCATTTATTTTTGTATATTTGAAACAAATCCTAAAACTACTATTTTTCGTATGTATACTATTTATCAAAGAAATATGTTATTTACCATAAAATATTTATTTTCACATTTTATTCCATATCTAATATGTGAAGCTACAAAAAATATGAATACTGAAAAGAGGTCAAGGAAAAAAATTTAAGAAGTGCTACAGTAGACTATAATAGCTCATTGAATCTATCAAAAAGCACTTCCGTGTAGAGCTCAAAGACTTTCATCAATGAATTGCAATATAAGAATGGTAGGAAATGCCATGCAAGTCACTGATCTAGCCATGATTCACAGCTCTCCATTCGTATTTTTTTTAAAATTTTTTAAAAATTTTCTTTGTCTCTAAGCCATCAGCTTTAACATTATGATGTCATTGAGATCATCAACAACCTTTTCAATTTGAATAGTTACTGAAAGTTTTAATGTATGCATCATAAATGTTCAGCGTTTCAAATTCTTCAAGCATGGGTCTGATACCAATGTTTTCTGTATCATGTTTATATTACAATCTGCTAATACTTTACTATCAAAAAATGTGAATATGGACTACATTAAATGATTTCTAATACTTGTGAGAGAACACGAGAAAGCAACATGTTTTATGTCAAGATATTCTGTCGTCTGCCAGTGTCAATGAACTGAAAATACTGAAGATTATAAGTGCAACGACATCTTTGAAATGCTCTAAAATCTAAAATTAAGGAATTTTAGAAAAAAATCTCCAATAATTTTATATCTGAATTTTTTATAATATCACTGCAGGGCAGAAGATTTTCCAGCATTAGTTTATAAGCACTTTTTAACTGTTAACTATGATCTACGTTAAAAACAACAGACAAAACATTTAACAAAAAGAGGCAGTTGTCCGTGCCTTATGTAAATTTTGATTTGCTCTCTGCAAGAGGGCGCGCCTGTGAGCACCTAACTACCTGTATATCTATCGTACGAACTTGTTCTTCTCTAGGCCGATAAACGCAATAACGAACGTTTGTGTCTACTTTCCATCCACTAACATGGTCCTTAGCAGCCGGAGTAAGATGGCCCGTCGTAAACCAGCGCAATTCTTTGGATGATGTGTCAAGACATTTTTAACGTTCTGATATAGAAGGATATTTCGTGCAAGGAAAACGGATTTATTTTTGTCTGGATTGTGAGAATAGCAGATGGAATATGGAGTCGATTTTAAAGCAAAAGCGAATCATTAACGGTAAGTTGACTCGTTTAATTTCACAAATAAATAGTTTACAAAATCAACAAAATTCTTTTTCTGCCATTGAAGTGTACGAAAATGATGCTGGTGCATTGAGTGTTGAAGTGAACTGTTTAAACGATAACATTCTTGGTACTCGTTCTGACATAGAGTTTAATAGGTATGAAATAGAAATGAATGTTTTCTAAATTGGCTGTATTAAAAATTACTTTAAAGGAAGAATCAAGAAAAGTTAGTAATTCAGGCAAAGATATAATGAATGCTAATGCAAACAGCTTGAAACTTCCTAGAAACTTTCGTAGAGCTACCAGTGTTTACTTACGTTGACTGGATATCATTTATGGATTTATTTCTTGCCAGTGTTGGAAATAATAGTACATTATATGAAAATCAGAAATTGCAATATCTTAAGCTTCCTGTAAAAGGTGAAGCTGCTGTTTTACTACCATCAGTTCAAATTTCAAACGCGAATTATGAAAAGCACTTACTGAACGTTATGAAAACAAAACAAAACAAAAACAAATAATAATAAACGCAGCGTTAAATAAATTAACTTCACAGCCTGTTCTAAAACAAGAATCAGCTTCAGGTTTGCGGAGATTAATTGATACAACACAACAGTGAATTGATACATTAAAAATCCTTACAACAGCCAGGTAGAGCATTGAAATACAAGATTATTTTTCTGTTAAAAGAAAAATCTTGATCATGAAACACTAAAAGCAATGGATGTTAGAGCATGAAAACAAAAAAATTTCTCGCTTTCGCTGAATTCAAGCACTTTTTATTTTAAACAAAGCAATTGCTATTGCCTCTTTGGCGAGGTGCCAGAGGAAGAAGGCTGTTCTGAAACTAAAACTCGCAGTTCTCAAATGGTAAATACGCTTTTTCGTCCTAACTTGTGGCTAATGTGTGCGTTCATTGTAAGAGTAGTTCTCATTTTCAGTTATTTAAATGTGATAGCTTTTTAAAACTCCCTATCAAAGAAAAATGGGATATTATTAAAAATATCCCATTTTATAAATATCGTGCAGGCATGTGTAAATCTTGTTCAAAGCCACATAATACAGTGTTATGCTTGAAAAATTCAAATGATAAAAAATGTCATGCACCCATGGAACACGGAACTTCTGCTATTAGTAGCAATAACGCCACGGTGCCTGTCATGCAAGCAGTTTTGTTGCCTACTGCGGTTGTTTATGTTAAAGATATTAATGGCGATTTACAAAAATGCAGGATACTAATTGATTCAGGTAGCCAGGGCTCATTTATTCGGGAACACTGTGTAAATTTATTGCAGTTAAAGCATACTAGTGCAAACATAAGTGTGAATGGCCTCAGCTTGCAAAAAATTGGAAAGGTTTCAGGTTCAGTTCAATTACGAGTAACATCTCCATTTTATAAAAACGCAAGTATTTCAGTTAATGCATTAATTATACCCAAGATCACATGTGACCTTCCTCAATATCAAGTTGATAGGTCTGTTTTGACAGATTTCAAACTCTTCTGGTTGGCAGATACAAATTGCTTTCAGCCTGGCCCAATAGATCTTTTAGGCGCAGATGTATTTGGCGAGATAATGTTTCATGGACATTTAACTGTTCCGGGTCATTCGTTAACAGCCTTGGAATCAATATTTGGCTGGGTCATTATCGGCAAGACTAAAAGTGTATCACAAACAATTGTATCTAATCATGCTTGTTGTACCAATGTTCAGTTCCAGCTTGAAAAATTTTGGAAATTGGAAGAAATTTCAGAGATAAAGAAAGCATTACACAGAAGAAGAAATTGAGTGTGAAAATCATTTCAAGGCGGAATTTTTCTCGTGAATTCAACAGGTAGAGATTTGTTGTTAAGTTTCCATTTCGTAGATCTAGCAATGAACTTGGGTCATCAAGGGATGTTGCTGTACATCGTTTACAAACATCAATTTATTATGCAATTGATGTTACTAAACGTCAATTTATTAAGAATAAATCTCTTTCCAGTCAATATCACAAATTTATGGAGTTGTTCATATGGTCAGCAACTTCGGTCATATGGAATTGATTCCAGAAAATGAAAATTGATGTTCCAGCTAATTCTAGTTTTTATCCTTCCGCACTATTCAGTTCCAGATAAAAATGGTGATAAATTTCGAGTTGTATTTGATGGTTCTGCAAAATCTTCTAGCGGTATTTCTCTTAATGAGAAATTAATGGTTGGTCCACAGTTACAGACTGATCTGACAACATTAATTATTCGTTTTAGAATTCACAGAATAGCTATAACTGCAGACATAAAGAAAATATACAGACAAATTATACAAGATGCAGACTTTCAAGGAATAGTCTGGCACGATTCATCTTATAAACCAACTCAGGATTTTCGATTAACTAGGATTGCTTACAGTACTGCATTAGCACCGTACCTTGCAGTAAAATGTTTACAGCAGTTAGCAATAAATGAACCAACTAATTTTCCTTTGGCTTCCAAGACATGTCTTAGGGACGTCTACGTTATGATTTGATGTCCGGAGCCAGTTCAGTTACTGAAGCTACAGAATTACAAATGGAATTGAATCAGATGTTGTCACGTGCAGGATTTGTTCTAAGAAAATGGGCTTCTAATAGCAAAAGTCTTCAATTTAATTAATCCAGATTTGTGCTTATCAAATGTTTCTTTAAACATAGACAATGATGATACCGTAAAAACATTAGGTATCCTGTGGCATCCAACTTCAGATATGTTTTTATTCAAAGTCAATTCATCATATCCTGAAATCTTAACCAAACGAACATTACTTTCAATAATCGCAAAGACCTTTGACCCTCTTGGATGGTTGGCACCGATCACGGTTCGGTATAAATTGATCATGCAAAGATTGTGGAAACATCAGTTGCAGTGGGATGAAAAGGTTCCTCCAGATATTGAATGTGAATGGAAACAACTTACAGAAGATATGTTATTTATTAAAAGTATCAAAATTTCACGATTCTTGTTGGTTGAATCAGATAACCAGTTTCAACTGCACGGGTTTTGTGACACCTCAGAGAACGTGTACGCCGCTGCTATTTATTATCGTTCTGTGTTAGATACTGGACAAATTATGTTCAGTTGGTGACAAGAGTTGCTCCATTAAAAATCATATCACTTCCCCGATTGGAACTTTGTGGAGTATTCCTGTTGACTAAATGGATGGACTTCACCTGTAAAGCTTTGAATATTCCTATCTCATGCAAGCTGATGGAAGACTTTCATCGCCAACAGAGTAGCAAAAATTCAGACTTTATCTGCTCCTGTCCAGTGGCATTATGTGAGTGGAAATACTAATCCTGCTTGATCTTGCAACTGGTGGTGTGTCATCATCTTCATTGGTTACTTCATTGTGGCTACGTGGTCCAGATTTATTGTATAATTTATTTCCCTTTCAGCCAGCATTATCCACATCACTACTGAATGATTCTGTGCCAGAGCAAAGAAGTGCTTTACAGTCAACAACTGCTGCCAGTCACCTGACAGACGCTCATGATTTATTTTATAAATATTCTTCTGTCACCAAACTTAAACGTGTTATAGTATTATGTCTGAAGTTTGTAAATAACTGTAGAAATTCAGAAGATCAGGTAAATGGATTTTTAAGAACTAGTGAATTAACTAATGTATTAATTAAATAAATGCAATATGTTGAATTTAAGAATGAAATTAACACTAAGCAGAAATCAATCATTATCTTGTACAAGCAAAATTTTATCTTTAAATCCATTTTTAGATAATTCAGGTATTCTTAGGGTGGGCGGTCGCTTGCGACATGCAAACCTTGCATTTGGCTTTAGGCATCCAATTTTGCTTCCAAAGAGGCACATTTTAACTCATCTCATTGTTAGACATTACCACGAAATACTTTTGCATGCAATCTTGCATTCAAGAACAATATTGGATCATAAGTGGTAGAGCTGTTATTAGAGATTTAGTTAGAAAATGTATAAAGCTTTGCAAAATTAGAGTACCTTTCACTAATCAATCGATGAGCGATTTGCCATCTAGTCGCGTTTCCCCTTGTCCTGCTTTTTTGAGCTGTGGAGTGGATTACGCAGGTCCTTTTCAAATTAAAGGAAATAAGGGTCGAGGTTCTAGGTCATTCAAGGGATATATAGCTCTATTTGTTTGTTTTACGACAAGCACTATTCACTTAGAATTGGTGACTGATCTTTCAACAGATGCTTTTATTGCAGCTCTTAAGAGGTTCATTTCCTGCAGAGGCAAAAGCAATGATATATGTAGTGATTGCGGTTCCAATTTTGTTGGAGCAAAACGCAAACTCATGGAATTTGAAAGGCTTGCTAGATCTGCAACTTATAACCAAAACGTTAGCAGATATTTGTTTGATAATGGCATTACATGGCATTTAAACATTCCAGGTGTGCCACATATGGGTGGACTCTGGGATAAAATCAACAAAATACCATTTAAAACGAGTAGTTGGCGAGGCGAGACTGACATATGAAGAATTTGAAACATTTCTCACTTAAATAGAAGCTTGTCTTAACTCGTGACCTTTAACAAGTTTATCTAATGATCCAAATGACTTATCAGCATCGACGCCTGGTCATTTTCTAATTGGTAGATCATTAACAAGCATTCCTGAACCAAATTACATTGAAGTTTCCCATTTCACTAGATGGCAACATATTCAAAAAATGGTTCAACAATTTTGGAAGCGTTGGCACAAAGAATATCTGTGTCGATTACAACAAAGACCAAAATGGCTTTTGCCAACTAAAAATCTTCAAGTTAATGATCTGTGTCTCCATAAAGGAGGATAACTTACCTCCAACTAAATGGAAAATGGGTAGAATTACTCAGTTACATCTTGGTCTTGATATTATTGTTAGGGTTGTGACTATTAAGACTTCAGATGGCATGGTCAAAAGAAATATTACAAAATTATGTCCATTACGAATTTGAGTTTTAATTCATGCATTATAAATTAAGTATTATATAATGATTTTAATATTGTATTGTGTTTTAAAATTTGTTGAATTTTTAACCACTGAATGTTGAAATAGTATGTCAAGGTGGGCGGCATGTTCGCGCCTTATGTAAATTTTGATTTGTTCTCTGCAAGAGGGCGCCTGAGAGCACCAAACTACCTGTATATCTATTGTACGAATTTGTTCTTCTCACGGCCAATAAACGCAATAACGAACATTTGTGTCTACTTTCCATCCACTAACATAAATATAAAGCAGCAGTTTATATGCTAAATATAAAGCAACAGTTTATAAGCACTTTTTAACTGTTAGCTATGATCTACGTTAAAAACAACGGACAAAACGTTTAACAAAAAGAGGCAGTGTTTCATGATTTTTATATTTTGGAAAATTTTGAAAGTAAGACAGAACACTGGCATAATTTTTGGATATGATAAGTAAAGGCCGAAAACATGAATATGCTAATACTTTTATGTTTTCAGTCAATAAGCGTTTTCAGAGACTTTCCTGGAAGACTGTAAAAAGCAATATAGTTTACAAAAACGCACACACACACACAAAAAAAAAAAAAAAAAAAAAAAAAAAAACTTCAGTTAACCGGGTCTAATCTAAAAAAAAAATTTTCAGTATGTTTATTACAGAACAATGGGAAAATTCCTATCACAAAACATTAAAAATACATAAAACTATCTAATGAAACTACAAAAAGGAAAGCAAAAGGAACTGGAATAATAGTGGTAGTAAATGATTTCTGCTATGACATCTGGCCAAAATTTCTTTTGTAGACATTGTAAAGGAGCGACAACCGTTTTTCTTTCTCAAACAAAACATGTTGTTCTTATTTCTTTGTCTGAACCATGTACTATGGGTGTTGAATGCCTTGAACTGAATAAAAATTTGATTGCGTTTAACAGTGACGAATGATCATTTGGATAACTACATTTACATACATATATGTTCCATGTTTATCGAAAGCTAGGTCAAGAAAGAAAAATTGAAATATGGAAGAAGTCCTAAAGAGATTTATCTCATACAAAATTAAAATTATCGTAATATAAGTTAAAATATGAAAAAAAAGTTTAAGGACTCTCATTGTTCCCCTTTTCCAAACTTCAACAGTCTGCTTACTTGTGTATCCAAGGTCCATTACTCATTTACTCATTTATTCAGTTAGGGTAAAACATGCAATTATTCGATTACAGCTATCTGCCTAAGAGAAGGGAGGGTTCTATGGAGGATTTTCTAGTCGAAACTGTCTCGAATTCATCTTGCGTGGGTATTTTCAAAAAATCATGAAAATGCTCATGCAGCTAGCAATTCCACAATGAATCAAAATCTTGAGCCATATTACTGATGCTCAGCTATCTTTCTACTCGACCAGTGGCAGGTGTGTTCCAGTCTAATTTAATTTCGGAATCTAAAGTTATTTGCTTGCACCTTTCTGGGAAACTGGCTATGCACATGAAATTGAGGAATCCGCTACAAAACATATAAAACAATATTGGTTGCAAAATTAACATCACTTTTTTCTCATAGATCACAATAAGTATCTAGTATAAACCATACTTTTTACTGTTTTCTGGTATCAAACATTGAGATGCTCATGCACATAATATGAAAAAAAAAACAGTTTAGGATATTAGTAAATGTATGTGATTTGGATAGCTTTACCAAATGTGGACATGCACTGATTAACTTTGCAGATTCTTCAAGACTGATGCTCTGAGAAATGTCATTATCTTTGAGTAAAAAAAAAATCTGATGTGTACACCACATGACTTCCTTGCACAGAATATTAAAATATACGCATTTTTTCTTGCATTTCATTAAAACATATTGGATTGAATTAAATCTACTTCGTCAAAATCGCATAAGTCACAATAGAATAAATGCACTCTTTAAAATTCACTATATTTCTTTACCACAGTGACACTGGCACTAGGTTCACTAAATAGCATTACATTTCGTTCATATTGCAAATCAGAATGCATATAAATTTATATCATTTGAAGAATTATCTAATCATTGCCACACTTCAATTCAAATACTTTAATAAATCTAAAATGATGCATAAAAGAAATTAAGCAAACAAAACAAAAAAGAAACACTTTTTTTACAAACAATTCAGTATTTCTCATTCAATTAATTCAGCTGTCACTTATTGACAAGGCCAAAATACATAAAGCATCTGTATTACAAATTACGAAGTAAATCTTAAATACTTATTTCCTCGACTAAATCCCAGAATGGATTAAACATGATTTAATTCGCAATAATAAAAGAAGGCATTATCTTTGTTGGTGTGAAGCTTAATTTCTCTAGATTGGTAACAAATCTACTATTTTGCCAAGTTTAAAATGTAACCAAACATGCTTGCCATCGCAAAATTCACTAGGCTTAGCTGCACTTAAACAACTTTTAAATTGCTGATAACTCCACAAATATTACATGCAGATTTACTAAAGGCATAAAAACCTTAACTGGAAGATAAGAACAACATAATTCAATAAATTTTAAAGCAAAAAATGCACAACTTACAAGAATATAAGAGTAAAGATACTGAGATCACTGAGCCGGTTAACAAAGTGGATATATACATACATATATTTATATATGTTTGGTGCGGCCGAATGCAACCAAAATATGATGTGCATATCTATATTTTATGCAGCATATATACCAAAATTTCAACGTTCTGAGCTACTCGTTTTGGTTATGCAAGATACGTACGTACGTATGCACGTGCGTACATACGTTCGTACAGACGCCACGAAAAATTCTCTTCAGAATTAATTTTAAATCAGTTTTGTAATTTTTTGGGGGGAAAAGAGTCTTTTATTCTGTCCTTACATACAGATGTCCCGCAAAAACATTGTTAAATTGCATTCGATAGAGGTCAAACTGGATATTTTCATTAAAATATAATGCCTGGAAATTTATTACAATACTTCCTTTTTACTTCGTACAAGGAAGTAAAAATAGAGGCATTTTTGAAAGAGAAATGCTGGAAAAAAAATTGATTAAATTATCTACTAATTTCAGTGGTACCAGCTAAAAAATAAATTATTAAGCAGGTTCATTGCATACATCAATAATAATTGCATCATGTATATTCTGCACAAAAATAAATGGGCAATGTTTCTATATCTCCTGTTTTGCTACGACAAATGATGATATTTAACTTGAGTTTTTTTATATCTTAAAAAAATGATTTAGGATATATATTACATATATATATAGCATTGTTCAAACTTAGGTATTCTGACGCAAAATCAAACTTTTCCTGAAATGTCATGCCAATTTTTTTACCATATTTCGATTCTATGACTCAAATTATGCCTAAATATTACTTTGGAAAATTAGATGAGAAATTTACTGAGAAATTTAAAAATTTATCTTCATGCATTTTTCCCCATAATTCGTTTCTAGAACTCAAACTATGCCAAAGCGCTAAATTTTGTAAAAATTGCACCAGTAGTTTTTAAAAATTAGCTGCAGTATGCCATCCCATTTTAGAAAGAACAAACATCACATTTTTCCATTCTCGCAGAAACAAGCCTCCTGTTAACTTTTCAGATTGTAGCTTTTTTGTAGCCATATAAAGTGTAGAAAGAATAGTTTCCAACTCTGCAAGATGATTCCACATACTTTCTGTTAGTGAAAAATTAGGAATCATTGGTAAGCGAATGAAATTATTGAGGTAGTAACTGGGGAAAAAGACAAAGGAGTACATTACTTGCCACAGACCTGTAATAAAGGAGTCTAGTTAAACTACAAAAATACGACTCGTTTTTAATGCATCTGCATGTTCTAAAAATTCACCCTCTCTCAATGACTACTTAAGTAAGGGACTAAATTTAATAGAAATTATCATAAGTATATTAAATCATTTTCAAAACTATTGCGTAGGAGTGTCATCTGACATCGAAAAGGCCTTATGTCAAATAAAAATAGAAAAAATGATAGAGATTTTTTACGATTTCTATGGTTCGATAATCAACATAATTTGAAAATTTACCGACATAAGCAAGTTGTTTATGGACTCAAATCAAGTCTGTTTCTACTAGCTGCAACACTTATGATGCAAAGAATAAGTTTTACTTGAATTTTTACATTTTTATGTTTTATCTGCTGACCACAAATACTGTTTAATACACAGAGAGTATTAATGAAAGGCAATAACTCGCTTTAATATGTAGAGATCATTTTCAAGGGTACACAGTTAGTTATAAATAATTAAATTAGGTAGTTAGATAACCTTAGTAATTATGGATTTACATGGCCAGTATTCAATTTTATTTTTTAACAATATTTGTTAAAAAAGTCCTATTAAAATCAAAATCTAATAAAATTTCCAGTTTAAAATACATATAATTTATGACATTGATTCTTAAGTGATATTAAGCTAATTAAAGCATTAAAAGCTACAAAACATTTATGTTTTGTAACAACAACACTCATTATTTATTCATCATTTTAATTTGAATCCTTCCCAAACATTTTGGCTAGTTTA